AGGAAGGTGAAAAAACAACCGGCAAATAGAAGCGTTGACTGTAAGAATGAACGGAACTCAGGAGCTGGTTCAGCCCAAAGGGCAAGACTGATGAATATCAATAACTGAACAAGAGGAGAAAATTGTGGCTGGGAAGTCAAGAGGACACAAGAAAAAGTCTCTGGCTATATGAAATACAGAACTAATAGGTCCTTTCATTTTCTGTAAAATTCTTCTTTTTCCTTTGGCTTTTCCCTCTTCAGGGGTCGCCACAGTGAGTCATCCTCCTCCATCTCTGTCCTCACTCCAACTACCTTCATGTCCTCTCTAATTGCATCCATATATCTCCTCTTTGTCTTGTTCCTGGCAGCTGCATTTCTAACATTCTTCTACCAATAATACCCACTGTCCCTTCTCAGGACATGTCCAAACCACTGTCCCTCCTGTGGACATGTCCAAACCATCTCAGTCTGGTCTCTCTAACTTTATCTCCCAGTTGTTCAACCTGTGTTGTACCTCTGATGATCTCATTACTAATCTTATCCATCCTTGTCACTCCTAAGGAGAACCTCAACATCTTCATTTCTGTTACTTCCAGTTCTGTCTCCTGTCTTTTTGTCCATGTCTCTGTCTTCAGACCATACAACATAGCTGGTCTCACCAGTCTTGTAAACTTCTCCTTTGACCTTTGCTGACATCCTTTAGTTGCAAATCACTCCTGAAACTTTTCTCCATCCACTCCATTCTGCCATTTTCTATACAATACTAACTATATATAAATTGCTGCATTTGTTTTGTATCCTTGATGTCATCATATTTTCTTGTATCCAGGGACACATAGGAAGATAAACAATACACGTTCTAGAGCCTCGCTTTGTGAGGAACTAAATGGGTTTATTAAATGTGACTGCTGGGTACAAATCTTACCCTCAAACTGCACAGGAAATACAGTCTTAGGTAAATTTACCTTGTCTCACTGTAAACCTCATGGGCATCAATGCTTCCAAATTGATTTTTACAGCATTAATGTGCTCCTAAAAGCTCATCCTTCAATCTGCATGTCCCATCAAGAGGTTCTGCTTGACCGTGGGCAGAGGCTGCTGTATCAGTCTCACTTCACAGACGATGAGAAAGATTGTGTGGGTGACCGATGAGTATCCTAACCTTCAGGGGTCATAGGGTGTATAGCAGAACAAAGATCATTAAGTCGCAGATGGATAGATTTTATGTGTAAATCTTGGATTTCTATGCAGGAAGAAAACTTTTTTTTCTCCACCCTCAGTGGTTTTACATTTTTCTATCTTTGGTAACCAGAGCTTCATGTTCTCAACCACTTCACAGCTTCAGTTCTTGATATGCAATTTTCAGAAGACTTCCTCTGCCTCACATTTTCTCCACAGTTCATTGTACCGCAAGCAAACAGCACCTCTGTTCATCAAATGCTGTATTGTACCCCAGCTCCCCAGTTTCCCAACAAGACTCTTTGATGTCAAATTGACACTTTAGTGAACAGCTCTTCATGGATTTGATATTGCCTGGCAACTGCAGAAAACCCACTCCTCGTGGCTTCTTCAGTTTGAGGGAGGAGGACAGCTTGGACGGTGGAGAGGAAGAGGAAGGATTGTGATGGTATTAATAATAATGGTGATGTAGCTTTCTGTTTGGCTTGCCTCCAGGCAGCAGAGTAGAATTAAAGCCAAGAAAATCAGATTATAGAGTCCCTGGGGGTGGGATGCCCAGTAGCCAGCTGATGAACGTTCATCTAGTCTTAGCCGTACCCTGCATGGTGAGCCCCTCTGTTGGCTTGGAGGCCAATTTGTTAACTGTTATTGCTCGTTAGTGCAGCTTCCTGCTCATGAAAGGGGGTTCCAGAGCGAAGACAATAACCAAGGTCTATTGTCTTGCAATTATCGCAGTTTGAGGAATGGAGCCGGTTGATGTATTGTCTCTAAGTCTCTGGCTTTGCTGATTGCCTATTTGCTCCAAGAACCCCCTTAAACATCACCTGTAGTGCACAAGTTAAAAATAAGCAACAAATTATTTTTCCACTCGTCACTTGTTGTCTAGGATAAAATATATTTTACTCTGAATAATTTTTTTCACTGCAGTGCTAACAATAATTACCTGCATTGTTGTGACAATGTAGAAATATCATAGTTTTCTCATTCTCACCTGGGCTACAGATAATTTTTTTAAATAAATGTATTAATTTCCTGGCTTTTATTAGCCACACAAGAACACAAGGTTTTCCTCAAACTCTGTGTTTCAAGTCTGCATTCATGGGTCTAAATCTGCCTTAAACCATGACAGTACTGCAAAAACTATACATTTTTAAGTATTAAAGAAATTATGTTCCCTTCAACGGAGCTGGCAATGAGTACTGCAGATACTTTGTTTCAAAGTAAGTGAGAAACATGGTTGATTTGTATTTCACTTATCATTAAAGAAAAAATGAATTGGAAACAATATGAGAAATGCATGAATACGTTTAATAAAATAAATAAATAAAGTGCTGTGTTGTCACCATTGTATGTTCCCATACAATGGTGAAATTGGTTCTCTGCATTTGGCCGATCGCACTTGAGATACACCCAGGTGGAACAGTGGGCAGCTATGTCAAAGTCAGTTTCTTTATTTGTCATACACACCACATGTGGTACATGTGGTGGAACAAAATTGTGTACACAAGGTCCCAGTTAAATCCAGCAAAAGTATAAACTGTAAAGAAAAACAGTAATAGATCTAAGATATGAACTAAGAAAAGGGTAGAAGCTGTTCCTCAGTCTAGTGGTTCTACACTTAATTCTTCTCAACCTCCTGCCTGAGGGGAGAGGAGCAAAAAGTGTATGTGCTGGGTGAGTGGGGTCCTTCATGATGCAGGTGGCCCTCTTCCTGCATGTGGAGGTGTAGATGTCTGTGATGGTGGGGAGACTGACTCCAACAGTCTTCTGTGCAGCCTTCACCACTCTCTGCAAAGCTTTTCTTTATGCAGCTGTGCAGCCTCCATGCCACACATTGATGCTCGAGCACAGGATGCTCTCCACTGCACACCTGTAGAAGGAGGTGAGGACTGAGCTTCACAGGCCAGCTCACCTCAGCTGCACCCGGGGAGCAATTGGGGATTAGGTGTCTTGCTCAAGGACACCACGACATGTGGGAATGGCTGGGGATCAAACCTGAGAGTTTCAGGTCCCGGGTCAGCTGCTCTACCTCTACCCCATCACAGCCCCATAGGATATAATAATAATAATATATATATATATATATATATATATATATATATATATATATATATATTATAATATAATATATTTTGATGCTTCTATTATTGTTATAATTTTATAGAAAGGTCTAATAAAGCATAAATACAGTGGAATAAGAGAAAAAAATCCTTTATGATGTTTAAATACTTGAAGAGCTTGAACATTTTTAACACCTATGTGTCAGAGATAATAATAAAAAAGTTTAAAATCCACATAATAAAATTCAATCAAGAAATCAAGATATATTTTTTATAGCTTGGAGATTATAATGTAGTTAGTCCTGATGCATGCTCAATAATCCAGATAAATCTAACAAGGTTGATTTCTGTCATATTTAGCAGATGTCATTGCAATTCATGTTAATGTAATTTTTATAAAATCTTAACACTGCTGTCATATGCACATTAAACAATTATGCCAGCATAAATATTCTAAGAAGTTTGCAGGAAATGCCCAGGCTGTGCTGGAAGGGCTAAAGCTAGCTGCTGCTGCTGTTATTACAGTTTCATTTAACCATATCACTTTATGTAATGTAAATCAGTGAAGCAGCTGAAATTGAAATTGTGAAATGTTGGAGATCTGAATTGTTTTAAGACTAAAAAATGCTTTGAACTGTACCAGTCATACTAGCCATTAGCTCATCGTTCCAATAAGAAAACTCTTTTTCTCCAAACTGTTCAAACATTTATAATATAAATTGTGTATGATATTTCCACAGAAACACTTTTTCAAAAGATTTTACAGGCTCTGCTTATAGATGGATAATAAATTGTTTATAGATATGTTATTAATTCCTCTATAAACACTTTATAAATCATTAATAACTGCTTATTATGCATTAATTAAGGGTGACAGAGACAAAACTGACCAGTTTCTTGCCAAATAGTGAGCCACATCTGCCACATATATATTTAATCTAGAGTTGTTATTTTGAACATTTCAGACTAAGTTACTACTTTGTAAGAAAAATAAGCATTTATAAACCTATTTTTTTAGGATATAATATTAGTTGTAGATACTTACAATGCAGTGATAAAGAACAATATAAAAGTGGTACATTGTAGTACAATGTACCACTGTAGTACAGTGGTACAAAGTAGTGGTATATTAAGTGGTACCTATTTTACTGATAGTTTTTCTTATCTGTTCTAATTTTTTTTTTTTCCCAAAATAAAGACAAATAATATTCTTAGGCAGACAAATGTTCACAGTTGATCCTCGGATGCAATGACATCTTATGCTCTTCTTACATCGTTCTTTCTTGGAGCGCTCAGGGCTGCTCACCAGACCTGCTCACACAAAGAGGCTTATTGTGCAACTGTGGATCATTTTTATTGAAGCAGCAACGCACTCCTCCCCGTTCTGTCAAACCCCTCCTCTGATCCCACCTCTCATGAATACCACAGTGGTTCCTGCTTAATATTCAGAAGCTGGTGCTGATGTGATATGTGCGCCAAGACTGAGGTGGGAAAAGGGGGGAGTGTCTCTGCGAAAGAGAGTCACAACTCCAGTGTGTGATCATATGTGTGTGTGAGGCTGAAATAGGGAGAGAGGAGTAGAAGGCTGTTACTTGTCCTGCCGCGCTGTTCACCGCATCTGAAGCCTCTCCTGTCAGACTCAGCTGGAGCTTTCTGCGGCTCTGAGCTGGGCTTGTTTCTGAGTGGCTGAATGAATGAATGGGATGCCAGGAGGAGATGCTCGCTGAGGAGTGACTGATGACAACCGGCACCTCAGTGTGGATGGTGACCCCCTGTGTCCGTACCACCACTTCCCAGGAAGATTTAGGGCGCCTGGCGTTTCCACGACAACTATAATGGGCTGCAATTTGTGCAGTTTACAGAAGCGAGAGGAACACTACAGGCTGCTGTATGAGATTGCACAGGTGAGCACTGGCACGGCAGGGTCTGGCATCGATCGTTGTGTTTTGTCATTCATTATGCATACCGAGAGGAAAGCAGTCCTAGTCCGGAGGCTTGTTGAAAGTGTTTTAGGTCAAAGATGGTAAAGATAGGAATGAGGGATTAGTGTGTAAAATGTAAGTGAGGTAGAATAATGGAGAGGAGGGGAACGTCTTACTCAACAGCAGATGTGTTTTGAGTAATGAACAGTTGCTTAGAGAGCAGCTACTGTGCAGCTCATTCATCCTGCTAGACGAGCCGTGCTGAGAAAGCAAGTTTTTTTAGTGGAATAGTAGCACCTGGGCGCTACTATCTGGAGTCTTTGTGCCAATTTTTAGTCATAAATGATTCTTAGGAGGTTATTTGGCAGGTTTTCTCTTTTATAAAGTTGTCTCTTGGCTCTTTGGTTGTGTTTAACTGCACTGATAGAGACCTTCTTGTATTTCTTAGAAAGCACAGAATGTTATTCTTAGTGCATTAGTCTGATCTTATAGTTTTATATTTTGATTTATCATACAATACACTTCCCTTCATTCATTCCTTTTCCATATAAACTTTGCTCTATAAGAGGGTCCCAACAGGTCTGTAACAGAACTTCTACAACACCATTTGCACAATTTACTTTAACTTCAGAACCTGCATTATGATGTTATATTATACACATATCCTCCACTTGTCAGCTGCTTTAACTTCTTATGACTATTTTTCATTCATTCAACCTTTATTTATACAGGCTGGTCTCATTGAGTCACGAGGACTCCTTTACAAGAGAGACCTGTTTTACACAAAACCTCAGATGAGGTACACATAAATAAACAGCCATAAAATGCAAATAAAATAAAAAGTAAATAAAAACAGTGATATAAAACAAAATAAAATCAAGTTACATTATTTTACATTTATGACTACTATCCAAAACAAGTAGGCAGAAGACACTAGCTAACCAAGAGAGGGGAAGGCAAAGAGCCAAACAACCCATCCCACAGTTTCTCCATCAGCCCTCTTCCCATGCCAGACTAATAACTGTGAAACCTCTGTCTCCTGGAAATGGAGTGCAGCACTTCACCCTTCCTCTTTAGTCGTGACTGCCTTCACGCCACTGTGATCACAGCCTCATTACCCGTTTTATACAACCATCCTTTTTTTTAATTAGACATGAAACAGCTCTCTTTACCCTCGTGAAGTAACAGGGTGTAAAGTCGGGGAGGTAAACCAGTTTTTTGGAGTTAACCTGTGCTTGTAGCTTTCAGCTCATGTGCAACTTGAGTCAGAGCCTAACTGTTGCTGGCAGGGCGGTTCTGATGCATTAAACATTGAAGCACTGGTGTGCTGGTTCATTTCATACACTAGAAGTCTGTTTAATATTTGCAAAAAGACAGAACTGTCCAACAACTCTGAAAGAGGAGCAGATAGTGAATGCAGCTGCTGCCTCCCAGCAGAAGAACCATAAAAATAGTGATGTATTTATTGGTGCTTATCTTGGCTTTTGAGCCATTCTTTGCAGCAGCTGTGAAGTAGTCTTGACTCCTCTCCTCACGGTTCAGGGAAGTGGATCAGTATTTGCATAGTGGGCCCAGTCTCTGGGGCACAGTCAGCTCTGACAGGAGCTCTGTGGCTCAGTTGTCCACCCACTGATATACTGAACTTGTTCAGGCACGAGCTGCAATATCAGCACCTAGTTTTTGATCACCACTGTGGGAGGGAAGGTGGGAAGGTTATATGGTGTGGAGGATAAAGACTGGGATGGGAATAGTGAGGAAGCTGTTAAAGATGCAGAGACAAAGGGAAATAAAAAGGAAGAAGGAACTGGTCAACGACTGGGAGGACTTGAGAGGGAGAATAAAACATGCCACTGCCTTTCATTAAAAAAAAAAAAAAAAGCTCTTCCCACATTCTTGCAATCGCACATCTGTGCACATGTTTGCAGATGTCCTCTGAGACAACAAAACAAGCTGCACATTCTTGGCAACAACACAGCAAATTCAGAAAAGAACATAAAACACTGGTTGGGGAAGACAGACACAGAGAAGCAATGCTTTTCCTGCAGCTGTACAAGTGTGTCACTGCATTGTTTGGTCGGAACAAGAGTGTTGTGACAGTCGGTACCTGTTCTCACTGCTCACACTGCTGCCAATGGTATTGCTTGTTTTTGGTCTGTGCACTTTGCCCATCTTTCTCCCCTCACTTTTTCACTTTAGTCACAATTTGTTTAGATTTTCTTTGTTGCAGAAATAACTGTAGTCATCCACATACTTGCTGGAGACCGCTGGGATTATGCTAAACTGGTGAATATGTGTATGCAAATGAGGTGAAGGTAGAGTGCTCGCTGCCACAACCAGACTGACCTCGCGGAGGGGGATTTGAAGAGCAGGAGTCCATTGAAGGGTTTTGTCAGCCACCTTCCTTTTCATCCCTTCACACACAGAAACTATTTTGACACTCTCTTCCTCTGACCATAAGCTGTTGGAGATTTATTGCTAGCGAGCTCTCCCTCTGTTTCTCTATTCTCCCATTCCTTCTATTCTCAGGGCTGCAGGTGCTCTGCATGGAATGTGGTCACCTTTCTCAGCTGGCCTGCAGAGCTGTCTCAGTGAGCAGACTTTCATTCTCTGAATGTGTTTCTTGTCTGAACAGGAAGGCAGAGGAACCTTCTGCCTTCCTATCACTCCCACCTGATTAATGCGTGTCCATTCCTCTGTCTTTGTGCTGTTGTCTGTCTGTCTCTGTTTGATTCCTCTGATTGCTCATCTTGACTGATTGCATTACTTTCAGCCTTGGCTCTGGCTGCTCCCTGCTATATTCCACTCCACTTCATCTTCCAGTGACTGTCTGAGGAGAGGTTTTCTTCTTCTTTTTTTGGTCAGTGAGGATGAATCCTTGAATCGTTTTGACATTAAAGTTCAACAGATGAACCAAAGTTTGAAGCTGTGGCTCAGGACAGTTTAGCAGTTTCGACATACAGTAATGTAGCTGATACAACGAGATGCGACAGGGTTCTGTAATTCCCACTGTGTCCGTGAGCTCCCACTTGTGAGTGTCACACATTGTCTGTGCTCCACTAAAACTCAGTGATGTGTGGCTTTTTGGTGCCTAATTAGCAGGATGGCAGATGTTGAGGAGAAGCTATTTAGCATATATCCAAGTTGGAACGATATTTTTATAGTGTGTAAGTGTACAAATGTCCTGCGATGTCTTTTGATTTTTAAAATTCATAATGTATAATGTACACTATCTATGCACATAAAAAAAATATAAATACTGAAAGTAGCTTTAACAAATGCATATGTTTCAAACAAAGATTTCATACAACCTGTTAATGCTTAGATAATATGTAAGGGATGACTATCAGGCACTACCACACCAGATTGTAGCCGTATATCTGTAAAACCGACTGTTATAACTGTTCTTGTGTTTGCTAAGCTTGATTAGCTGTTGCAGCCATCTTGATTTATGTTGACTCTAAATGTTAATGAGCTGTAGATGTAAATAATGAGGTTTTGTGGTTTATGAGATCTTCTGCTAACAGACAGAGCTGACTCAAACCATGAATGCCAAAGTTTAAATCAAATATGATGAATCCAACAATGTTCAGTCAGGTCACCTGGACGGTTTCTTTTTTAAGCTGAGACATTTCGTCCTTCATCCAAAGGATGTCTTCAGTCTGAGGAGCCACCAACAAACAAAACTGACTCCCACAACAAAAGCATACTTCATAGTGGGGAAAAAAAACTGTTTGCTGGTGCTAAGATGGCATCTGTGGCCCGCCCGCTCTCAACTCCTCTGAGACAGTCATGCCAAAGTGGTTCAAAACACCAAAGTTCATGCTCAATAATCCAGGTAAAAATCCAACCATGTTCAGTTAGGTCATCTGGAAAGATTATGAACAATCTGTTGGTGCTTAAATTACGTATTTTATGTGACTTAGCTACTTTATCATCAAATGTAATCTCAATATTTTTAAATTGACTGAGGTGTTGTCATTTTTATGTTTGCTAAGGGTAGTTAGTTGGGCGGTCATCTTGTATCAGGTTGACTCCAATCAATAACCATTAGTAGGTGTGCCTTCATTGATTATTTTCTGAGAGTTTCACTGAAATGTATTTATTAGTTTAAAAGATATTTTGCAAACAGACAGATGGATGACTCCTACAGTTAATACTGAAGCTTTAAACAATGATTTTGAGAGATCCGTTATCATTCCGAGTATGTGACGGGGATGACTCCTAGCTACTACCTCACCAAGATGTATCTCATTTTTTGTAAAAGTGACTGAGCTACAGTTAGTTTGGGTTATCCTAAGATTTATCAGCTGTGATCAGTTGTTGATGTAAATCAATTCGCATTTTGAAAGTTTCATTAAAATGAGTTCTTTAATCCAGGAGATGTTTTTACTTACACAATATATTACGTTGTTACCCGCCTTTCACGGTGACAGCAATAATTAATGTACCAGAGAGCAGCAGGGACTGTCAGATTTAATCTACTAACACTTAAACCATCAGCATTAACATTTCTCTGTAATGAGCTTTCACCCTCAGATTACAAAGCTCATACCTGCAGTTTTATTTTTTACCCCATTTCATATGGTTCCAACAAACCATTTTTTAGTACAAGTTTTAAAAGCTGCATGGCCAGTTTGGTAAGTTTTATTAGGCAGAAGAAGAATCACTTTCCACTGCATTTGAGAAATAAATGGAAAGCAGCTTCTCAGCTCAATGAGGCACAGCGGTCTCTGATAACTTGCTGATGCATATGAATGAGAATGAGGCAGCAGCAGCAGCGTGCACACACACTCGCTCTCACACACGAAATGTCTCTCCAAGACACCAAATTCTGCTCTTTGTGAATATCCTGGTCTAAAAGCAGAAAACGGTGTTGACCATTTTACTCGTCAAAAGGTCTTTTGTGTTTTGAGTTGACGTCAGAGTCTAATGAAGTCGTGGTACTACGGTGGTCCTGAGGTGTAAATGAACATTTGACAAAA